TTCCCCTGGCTTTGAACTTGGGATGTGGGAGCAAAGGGCTCCAACGCCATTGCCAGCTCGTGGCTTTGCTGGTGGTGGCTAGGGAGGCTGGTGGGACTCAGAGGAAACAGGGGAGATCTCCCAGCATGGCTCCCAGCCCAGCCAGGACACATGAGCGATTTTACCCCAGTCTTGGTGACATCCCCTGCGTGCAGATTTTCATTATCCCATGGGACAACACTGCTTCCCTGGCTCATTTGAACTGAACCAGCTCAGCATCAGGCCCTTGGGGTGTACCAGCCAGGGGATGAGCCCAGCTTGTCTGCCCCTCAAGCATCAGAGGAGATGCAAATGTTAAACTGCGTTTAAAATGCAAAAAGTGAACACGATTCCTGCTCCTGCCTGGGACCTCCAGTGGCCGGAGCCAGCAGATGAGGGCTCACAGTGGCCAGGCTGGTCATGGCCGAGCCAGGATGCTCTGTTGGCCCCACAGCCCCCCCAGGGCACAGCATTCCCCTGGCCAGTGCGGCCAGCGCAGCCACCGCCACCCTGCTCCAATCCCTGCTTGCTCTCTCACCTTAGCTCTCACACACCTTGCTCAGTGCTGTTGGCGCTGGTGTGAAGGATGCTTCTCACCTTGCTCACGTGCAAAGCGTTCGGAGGCTGAGCTGAGGCAAGTTTGGAAATTGCAGCCTGGGAACCCTCTTTGGGTGAGACGTACATGAAAGGGGGTTATGGCAGTTGCTGTTGGACGGAGAGTTTCTACAACGTCCTCAGGCTTGGAGAGCTGGAAGTGCGAGGATTGCCAAGGGGATTGCTGAGGGAAATATTTATTTGGCATTTGAGGGGAGGCTGAAGGTCATTTTCTGTCTGTGTTTGTGAGAAGATGTGTGTACCGGGGGTTTGGGCGTCCAGTGCAGGGGAAACCTGCACTGCAAAGCTCGCCCTGGCTCTAACTCCTCCCATTGCAGGTTGGTGGCTTTTCCTGGGAGAACTGCGGTGATGGGAGTGACCCCGTGGTGCTGCAGAGCCTCTCCGTGGCGCCCGACCCCATCACCATCCCGGGGAGCCTGCGTGTCAGCGCGGCTGTCAGCGGCAGCAAGGCCATGGCCTCCCCTCTGAAGGTACGTGCGGGAGATGCCTCCATGGGATGAGGGAGGGCAGAGCTTCCCAAAACCACTGGCAGCCGGGATATGCGCAGCAGTGGGTACGGGAACGGGCAGCCGTTGGGGAATGAGGCACGGAGCGGTGCGGGGCTGAGCGCACCGGGCTCTGCCAGCCAGGACGTGGCGATGGGCACCACCTCCCGCGGTGGGAGCAGACAGCCCAGTGGGAGCCTCCCAACCCTGTCCCAGTGGGAGAAACCACCTGAGCTGTGTCATGTCCTGAGGACGTAATGACTCAGGGAGGGAAATGAAACCCCAAACGTCCTGGGTGTTGCTGGCGGGTTGGGAGCAGACAGCCCAGTGGGAGCCTCCCAACCCTGTCCCAGTGGGAGAAACCACCTGAGCTGTGTCATGTCCTGAGGACGTAATGACTCAGGGAGGGAAATGAAACCCCAAACGTCCTGGGTGTTGCTGGCGGGTACACTAGGCTGCTCCCTCCAGGGACATGCCACGACACTGCTGCAGGAGCCCTGGGCTGGCCCGGCCGTTCTGCACCACTTTGGGGGGACTTTTTGGGATGAGACCAAATGCATCTCTCTGCCCAAGGTGCATGGGCTGTCTTGGGCAATGCCACGGTGCCTCTTTGGGGCTGGGGCTGCGGAGAGCGTGCCGGGGGAGTGTGGAGGCAGAGCTGCGGGACAGGAGCTGCCGGGCAGTTTTAAGACAGGGCACTGAGGAGAGGGAAAGGAATGGGTGTGTGGGGTGCTGGGAGGTGTTTGCTCAAGGGGTCAAGTTGAGGTTGGAGGAAGAGAAACCTGCAGGCAGAGAGGAACCGAAAGCAGGAGGGGTACATGGGAGAACGTGCAGTGGCCCCATGCACCCCAAAGACTTGCATGAGCAGGAACCAAGGGAGGTGATTCAAGGGCTGGAGCACCTCTCCTATGAAGACAGGCTGAGAGGGTTGGGGTTGTTCAGTCTGGAGAAGAGAAAGCTCTGGGGAGAACTTAGAGCACCTTCCAGTACCTAAAGGGGCTACAAGAAAGCTGGAGAAGGACTGTTTACAAAGGCACGCAGTGA